AGATAGAAGAAAACCAAACTCGGGGAGCTATCTTTCAATAGCAGAGAGTGAATAATCAATAGAACTATCAAGGGTTTAAAATGTGATGTTGTGTTTCTTGTGTTTAATTCAAATATTATCATTTTTTTCTGAAAATAATAGTGTAAATAATTAAGATTATAGCATGATACATATTATATTGAGGCACTTTTACATACACTAAAGACCTTTCCTATGTATTTTAATAAACATTTTCAGAAAAAAACAGCTGTTTTTTAAGTAAAGTTAATCTAATAAATTAACATGATAAAATCAATAAGCTTGTGACTTTCTACAAGCTGAATTCCATTTCCAAAGTACTTCAAGAAAAATAAACCAGAAAAGAAGAGTACTTTTTTTTTTTTTTTTGGTGGTACCAACAATTGAACTCAGGACCTTGTAATTGCCAGGCAAGCACTTATTCCACTGAGCTATCTCCCTGGCCCTCAGTTTCCATCCAGCACATTTTTAAATCTGATTATGTTTTACTGTATTACAGGATATGATTTATTTGTGAATCTTTGGTTTTTATTGTTTTATGGAATAAATCTTCATATATCAAAACAAAGCTTCTTGGCAAGCCAGTTTCTAGTTGTTGCTTTTTGGGTTTTTTTTTTTAAGAGAAATTCTGCTAAAATAGTAATACAGAAACACCACTTTTCATATTCACAGCATTACAACTGCATTAGCTTAATGACTTAAGCTGAAAATAAATGCAAACTTATTAAATTAAAAAAGGATACATGAAAAGAAATACCTGAAAAAAATATAAAAATAAAAATAGAAAAAGGATACATATAAGTCATTTTTAGGACAAGGTTTACACTTTTAAATCATAATGTTCAGTGAATAAACCAGCGAAACAAGTTTAAATCTTACATGGTCTCTCTTATATGAGAAATTCAAATTATAAATAAAGAGCAAAACAGAAGATAAATAATAAGAAATAAGGATACAGAACTTTTGTAAAAGGGAGGGGGACCAAGAGGTGGAGTGAGGTAGGAGACAGCAGAGCACAAAGGGATAAACCAGAATAAAGATGTGTTACATGTAAGTACCAGCTCCCCAGGAGGAAGACAATCATTATTTCCTGAAAATATATACTAGTATAAAAAAGGGGAAAAAATGAAGCTAAGCTTATAAAGAACATGATGGGAAAATGGAAACATTAATAACATTATTTTCAAAATGCGAGCTACAGGGGCTGGTGAGATGGCTCAGTGGTCTAAAGCACCTACTTAGAACAAGCTTAGCAAAGCACAGGGGCTGCGGTTCAATCCCCCAGCACCACATGCCAGCCAGCCCCGACCCCTGGTGGGCTGAGCTGGCCACACACACACACACACACAAATAAAATTTTTTAAAAATGTGAGCTACAAACCTAACATATAAAGTAGGGTTTTTATTAGGTTAGGTTTTTATTAGGTTAAATCAGCATAGAAAATAGTCAGAATCAACTAGAATATCTTGGAGCTTTAGAGAGGTGAGACATGTCTTTCTGCCTTCATTTACTTTTGGATTTTCTTTAGTTGCTACTACTTTCAGACTTCTTTGACAATAAAAACAACAACATTAAAAGGGAGAAAATGTTACCACAAATCAACACTGGGCTAAGTTCAGAATGGTTCAGTAGAATTCATTCACAAAGAGCCTCAGGCAAAGTCAGGCTGAGCAGGGCCTTGGGGACAGAGAAACAGTGAGAATAGGGAGAAAAGCAATTAAAGGTAGATGCAATTTTAATGAGATGACAATTAAGGTGGTCTAAACTCCCTATGCCCCTTCTCCCATGAAATAACAAGTGTCTGGACAGTGATAAGTTTCAGGACTTTAGCATCTTCAGAGGAGACCCAGCCCACATAAGTTTCATTCCCAGCCTGGGCTTCGCTGAGTGCTTGGGCAGCTTCAGATTCTAGCACTAAGCAGCTGAGGAAGAGGCTGAGTGGCCCTCCCTGAAGGAAGGCCAGGGACAGCCACAACAATGTCTGGAATGTAACTGCTCAGAAAAAATGTGCCAGGTGTCACAAATGCTGGGTCACAGAAGGCAACAAGCTGGGTAGAGCCCTTCCTCGAGCAGAATGTATGTTCTGCCAGGAATATTGCACTCATAATTATTAGTAGTCAAAGGTGATAAATATGAGAATAAGCAATTATGCTTATTCTATGCACAGATACAATACCCAATTCAACTATATTCAGGATTTAGGAGTCAAATAATGAGTTACAGAAAGAAACTGAATAATATAAATCATGTAAGTGATTTACTTGAGCCCACCAAGGCAGTCCCATCCTGGATGGGATGTGCATCTGGTCTTCTCTGAATTGGACTCAATTTCTATTTTCTAGAAAGTATCTCTTTTTGCTATATATAAGCCTAAAAGGTAAGCTTAGGTTTACCTAAATTCGGGGTGTACCAAGTCACTTCAGGGGATCACTTCTTTGGGCTAACCACCTGTTTGGCTATATATGATCTCTTTTTGATACAACCTATGCTCCAAAATATGCTGGATAGCTCAAAAGAATAAAGAAATATGGGAATTTTTATCTGTGCTGCATTCAGTGGAGATAGATTACCAGTTTCCACTGTGGAGCTAGTTCCCTGGGGAATTCCAAGACTCAGCCTGGCAGATGGGATTTTCTTCATATGCCTAGCCTTTAGAACTCAGTCTTCTACTCTGAAGGGCTTCCCCTATGCCAGGAGGAAATATAAGACAGAACAACGCTACATGGAGAGCTTCCATATGAAAGAAGAGATTTTAGCTAGGAAGAACAGCAGGGAAAGTGGCAAGTGAAGATCATGTGTATAGGTATAAAGGTGGAGGAGCTGAAAGTGTGTTTAAGGGGACTAATCAGGAATAGTGAAACAGCAAGAGGAAACGAGTGACCTGACAATCCCCAGCACTTACACAAGCTTCCAAATCTGTAAGGCTCCTTTATTTATTGAATTATTCAACACAAAATAAGGACCTACTAAGCTCTATGCATTCTAGATATCAAAAGTTCCTCCTGCTCTCATTTCTGCCTTTTCACATGGTACCCTATTGTGGTTGCAGAAAAATTCATTGACTTCTGATCATCTGCCAAGCCCTAAAAATTCTCTGGAATATGGCAGTGCTGCTGTTTGAACCCCTTTATGGCGCCTTTGCTTGGTCTAAATGTTCAGGACCTCTTTCTTGATGGGTCTATGGCTCCTTCCGGGGAGGAACTGCAACATGCTCATATGTACCTGGCAAAACACTAGCCTCACAGTGGCTATTACACTTTGGCAAAGCAGTGCCCCCACCACCTTTTATTAGCAAAAAAAGCTGAGGCCAAGGTGGTAGGTGAAGTGCCCGAGATCACAAATAATTAGTGATGGATGTAGGTACTAGGTGACCCTAAAAGCTGGGGATTAGCCAGTTATTTAATATCTCTGTGCCTCTACTTCATAATCTGTAAAATGGCACAACAATTTCTTATAAAATTGTCTCAAGGGCCAGCCAAATATCTCAGCAGACTAAAGTGCCTGCTTAGGTAGAGCACAGCAGCTGGGTTCGATCCCCAGCATGCCATGACAACCCCATTGCTTGGGTGTGCTGAGAAGGAGATTGAGACTGGGCATGGTGGCACATACCTATAATCCCAGTGCTTGGGAGGCTGAAAACAGGAGAATCACCACAAGTCCAACCTACACAGTGAGACCATGTAGATCCTGTACTAAATACATTTTAAAAATTACCTGTACTAAATGTATTAAAAAAATTATCTGTCCTAAGAGCTACTGCTCTTAGGACAGTTTGTGATATACAGAAGGTATTTTGTGATAACTGCTAAACTTACTTCGCCAATTTACTTTTTGTCTCACCAAACCTGATGAGTCACCATTTTTATTAGTTATAATTAAAGAAAACTACAAGTCAACAAAATAGTGATTTAAAAAAAAAAAGAAATGAGTAACAAACATAAAATTTTGTAAAGGAAGTCCAGAGGTTTACCTTGCTTATTGGATGACCCTTGTCTTCTTTATCAAAAACATAGCTGTTATGGTACTTGCAACTACCTGTCTCAGGCCCACACAGTAGGGAAAAACGAGAGTATGGACTCCCTTCTATACTCACAGGATGTGTTTGCTTGTATCTCATTGGCCAAAACTCAGGGTATATACATAGCTGCAGAGGAAGACGCTGAAGGCAAAATTTACAGACCTATAAAAAGCTAAAAGTCTTTGAGTTCTGCTAATAAAAGAAAAGACAGTGTGCCTTAGACAGGTGTGCAGCTTCTTTCTGCACTGGTCATGGACCATAAACCAGTGGTAATCCAGGAGGGTGGCTCCAATGCTAGGCCACCGTATCAAAGCTAGGGATTTGTAACATCACAGCACATTTCCAAGCACATTTCCTCAAGATCTATAATGCTGCTCCTATTTTAATTATTTTGAAAGCATGTGCCCCCATAAGGAAAATCTGACTATTTATGTCTGATTCACTCTAAATTATTGAAAAATTGATTTTTTAGAAAGATGTTTGCTAGCCAAGACCTTTGAATCATTTTAATGAGCTGGGGAGGGGGAACACTCTTTTCTTTAAGAGCAGAATTATGTTTTTGTCTCTAAAAAAAAAACAAAACAGAATCTCAGATTAATCTGTTCATATATTCCTTGAATCTGTAAATGAACAACCTACCTTTTATCAGCCTTTGACTTAAAAAATAAATGTTCACATTTTAGCACTATTATGATGAATTTTATTTAAAATGTTATTTTTTCATATTAATTATGAGCGATCGATAACTTGAGTGCATCTTATTACCAAATCTCTTAAAATAATGCAGGTGATAGTGACTCTTCATGGAGGCATTACTTACTGATGTGCTTTTCCCATCAGAAGAGTATCTAATGAGGCTCATAAAAAAGTCAGATCTGTGATTGAAAGTCACTTTCAAATAAACATTACAGTCCTGAACAAATGCACTTCTACTTTCTGGAAGCTTATCAGATTTCTACCTGATCACAGAGACAGAGAGTGTTCATAAGAAGGCTTAAAGACTTGAGGAAACAAAGATGATGGAGTAGCGGGTCCCACTAGCAAAAGGAACACAAAGAAGATACAAGGGAGAGTGCCAAACACACATTAGATCTGGCCATGTTTAATTTGATGAGTCACAAATCCAGTAATCCCATGAGTCAGCATCGTCCTATGAAAAATGCATGGATTACAATAAGTGGAGATATAATTTACTGATAAAAGCAAGAGCTTTTAGAGTCCAATAGATCTGGTTTGGAATACCCTTCCTTCATCAAATAACTGTGAGACTTTGGAACAGTTATCTTCCCTATGTGAGCCTCAATTTCCATAGTTCTAAAAGGAAGACAGTAATAGTACTTGTATTTCATTACTTGTTTGAAGATCACCTGAAAAATGCTTGGCAATAGTTCCTGGCACATGATACACACTCACCAAATTGCAACTATTTTCAGTATCATTTTCTTTCCCTTTATGTTTTACAGTAGAGATTCTCCCTTCAAGAACTGTGCCACTGGTCATCTTTTATTCTTTAAAGAAGCCAAATTGTTGAGGGTGAAGGTAAAGGTGAGAGTGAATATTTGAATTAATCTCCCTAGGACTTGTAATTTCACTGTAACTGGAATAATAGTGAGGAAACTGTTTTAGACAAGTAATTTCTGCTCTTGTTATAAATTTAAACTGTCACTATATGCTAAAAATGAACTTGAAAAATTTTGGAACAAGTCAATTTCATGTAAAACAGAAAGGCAATGTTTAGGTTGGTAAAACAGAAACGTTGCTTACTGAGCTGACATAATAAAGAAATATCTCAAAAAAACAGCAAGGGGCTGGGGAGATAGCTCAGCAGTCTAAGTGCCTGCCTGGCAAGCACAAGGACCCAGGTTTGATCACTATTATCGCATGCCGTGCCAGCCATAGAAACAGGGCATGGTGACACATGCCTGTAATCCCAGCACTGGGGAGGTTGAGACAGGAAGATCACTATGAGTATGAGCTGTGTAGCAAGACCCCATACCACATAAATACAGACAGACAGATAGAAATTAAAAAACAAAGCAAATATCAAACAAGATAAAGAGAATAATTCATGACAAATGATATTAGAAAATAAAACTCATGGTACAAGTTTGAAGTTATCATTACAAATCCCAGAGCAAACAATTTTATTCTCTTAAGCCCCTTTTAGAAGTAATGATAAATGTGTGGGCCCCACCCCCTGGGGTGTGCTGAGAAGGTAACTGAGACTGGGCGTGGTGGCGCACACCTGTAATCCCAGCTCTTGGGAGGCTGTAAACAGGCGGATCACTAAGAGTCTGATTTAGTAGTGAGACCCTGAGCACCCTGTAGATCCTTCCCCCCAAAATAAAAAAGAAGTAATGATAAATTAATGATCCTTTTTCTTCACAGTCTACAGATACATCCCACAAAGGGCTGACTGTGTCTTCAGTGTTGAACACAATGCCTGCCATGTGGGGAGCTCAATAGACATTTGTGAAACAAGTGAGAGAAGAAATACACAAAGGAGTGATTTTCATCAGCAATTTGTTCCATTCAAGTTGAGAATTTAACTGTATAACGATTAACAGTGGCCAAATCAGTGGGAAAGTCGCTCCATGAGTAGTATTCTGACTACACACCAATGCAAGAGACTAATGAAGTGAGCCATTAATTGCTGCCCATCCAGGATGTAACACCTGGAAGAAAGCTGAGAGATCACCTACTCCAGTGGGTCTCAATGCATCGTTGCAGTACTACCCAGAAACTTGTTGGAAATGACAGTTCTCAGGAAACTTCTATTTGGAAGCTCTAACTGGTACCCAGGCAGGAGTTCTGAGAAGCTTCCAGGTAGTTCTGTAACATGCTTTAGTTTGAGATTTGCTTATACAATTAATTCATTCCCCTGGTGTACAGAGGATGAAACGGAGGTTTGGAAAGTGAATGGCAGTTTTTTCCAGAATCACTTCTTATAATTATTAGATAATTAACAGTGTCAAATCATTACATTTTAGAATTATGACACTATCTCACCTTTCTGAGCTTCAGTTTCCTTATCTGTAAGAAAGAGAATAATATGACCATTTCTTGGCAGTCAAAATTACAATGCTATACTTAAAGAATATAGACTATAACAAATAACATACACATTGAGACAGAAGACATGCATATGAAAGTCTATATTTCTTTGGAAAATATAATCAGGATTTTTACATGCCTTCAAATCTCTTTTTAAACAACTGGCCATTTATTCCAGGCAAAGCTTGCTCCAATGTGAAAACATCTGGCCATGATTCATGTTAATGTGCATGAGGTTATAGTTCATTACCATGAAGGCTGCAGGCTTCACTTTAGATTTGTGCCTGGTCAGACCACTGGAGGCTCAAATCAAGCTACTTTCTGAAATGACTCCAGGGTGACCTGGACCACTAAAAGGGGACTCAGCTGGTGATAAAAAGATCTTGGTAAACATAATCATCAACTTGACAAACACATTTGTTTGGAGATGTGTAACCCTTGGTTTGCATGCCTATAAACTGAATTTTCTCAGTAGTTTAGTGTACCCATGAGAGGGCAGCTCTTGTTCACCATCTGGTTGGGAGTCAGTGCTCTTCCTGTGCTTGTGTAGGTGGGCTGATGATGGCATGGAGAAAGAAACCAATTATACTGGCCAAGAAGTAGTTAGCAAAGACCTGTTCTAGAATTCAAACATCAGGAAATAGGATTCCATAAAGCAGATTCTTTTCCTGTCAATGTTTACAAGATGTTCTCTATAAATTAGATTGAAATACATACATACATATCCCCCACACATATGCATAGCTCACTCATAGTGGGGTATTACCCCCCCTTGGAAAGATGTTTCCTTACCAGGTCAGGAATCTGTTCAATTCAATCTCTTACTTAGCTTGTCAACTTTATCAGTATGAAGTCAAAGCACTGACCTCGTCTGATGGAGTGTCTGAGCTGCACTGCTTGATGGTTTTACCATCAAGAAAATAGAGCCCATGGGAATCTATGCCTGGAGACTTCAGGTTAATAGCTAAGCAGACAATAGTATCCTGAGGCTAAACTGGTGACTCACAAAGCTGTTTCTTGGTTTTCATTTTATTAAACATTCCTACTTTACCCCTCTCTTGGCTCCCACATGTCCAGGGCTCACATAAAGAGAGTGCTGAAGACGAAGGATGAACACTCAGGAAAAGAGGAAGCACCACGTGGAGAACACAAATGCTGATCAAGAGACAGATGAGCCTCTGCATGGTCCCCGTCCTACCAAGCCAATGAGAGAACCAACTGTAATTACGTAGCCTTCCGGGGCCTCAGTTACGCAACTCATAAGGCTGAGCAAACAGCTTCCAAGTAGATACATTCTAAAAGTTACTAAAATTCAAAGAACTCTATAAGCTTTTATCATTTTTCTTGTTTAAAAGCTTTTAACAGTTCATTGATGCCTAATCTAAAGGTTTCTACACAGTTTGATGATACATGCCACTAATAATTATTTAGCATATTCACAATATATGTCTATGAATTACTTATAAATTAATGTACAACTCAACTTATAATGCCTATATTATCTATACATCTAAATGTAAGTAAAAATAGAAGCTATAAAGAATGAAATGAAAGTGGGGCCAGGGAGAGGGCTCAATGGCACAGTACCTGCCTGCCAACCCCAAGGTCCTGAGTTTGATTCCTGATATGGGAAAGATATCCTTGAGGATTCAAATGGAATAGGCTTCTGAGCCATTATTGCAAATTCATTTCAATTCACTTTGTACCCATCTTTGGTTTTATTATCTATTTGGTTTTATTTATCATTAATATCTCTTACTTTATCTTTGCCTGCTAGTTATAAGCTGCATCAAATATTGTTCTAAGATAAAATAACATATGGAAAACCATCTATAACATAGATACTTAGTGGATACTTGATAAAGGAAGAATAACTGTTAGAGAATATATATAAATATAAAACAAGTATGAGTACAGACAAATGCTTCAGAGGACAGCTAAAACATTTAGTTTTGGGGAAGACAGTGACCTTATACCAAATAAAGATGTGGAGCAGGCAGTTAGGTCTGTGCTGAGAAGGTGGGTGAGGCTAAAAATAGAGGTTTGGAGTTGCCAGGTTAAATGACATCTGAAGCTAAAGATGTGTGAGAGGCTATGGAGTGAAAGAAAAAGCAAACCAGGGAGAAAGCTTTAAGGAATTCTACTACAGTAAAGGTTAGACAAGGGAGACTGTGCCTGCAAAGGAGGCCAAAGAGGGCGTGAAGAGAACAAGAGCTAGAGATTTAGCATTGCAGGGTGTGGTCTCCAGGGATGTGGAGCAGATGTAAGATGAAGACTCAAAACCAGCCATCAGACCTGAGGGCTTGGGGACAGCCATGGTGACATAATAGTTGTCTTGTAACAGTGTGCCTCAGATGAAGCAATCTGTAAAGAACAGAAACTCATGTCTCACATTCCTGGAGGCTACAAAGCCCAAGATCAAGGTGAGGCAGGCCTCTGGTATCCTCACATGGTAGAAGGAACAGCCAGAAGACAGACCATTTATGAAGGTGGGGAGCCCTCCTGCTCTGCTGCACTGGAGGTGACGCTCCTAACATAGGAATTTGGGGGAATACCTTGAGACCACTGCAAGGGAGCTTAGTGAAAGCTACATTATTGTAACACTGGAGAGGAAAATAAGAATTGAGGAGTGAATAGTGGTTACTACCACTGCGACAGCTGACATTTGCTAAATGCTGTGCCAAGTGCTTAGTATCTATTATGTTACAGCGAGCTGATGAAAAAGGAGATATAAAAAAGTTAGCCCCCTCAAGGTTACACAGTTTCCTATTGATTCAGTCCAGATTCAGGCCAAGACAGTCAGATGTCAGAAGTTGTTGTATAAATGGCATTTGAAGCTGTAGATAAGGAGCCAAAAACTTTATAGATACCTCTTAGGGAATTTGGTTGGGAAGGAAAGGAGGAGAAATAAGGTCGTGGCCAGAGGAGGAGGAGGATGGCAACTAAAAGTAGATGGAGTCTTTTGTTGTCTGGCGGATAGAAAATCAAAGAGAGGAATGCCTCAGCAGCAAGTGCTGGGTTGAAGATTACCAAAGAGAAGGGACAGAGTCAGATCTAGAAGTGCCTGGAGAAGTGAAGCCTCCAACAAAGCCACCCCATTCTAACAGACAGGAACAAGGCAGAAATGGGTATAGATCTGCAGGATGTCTACACTCAAGGGGGAAGTGCATGAGGCTCCTTTCTTCTGTTTGCTCTGGGTTGTGAGAGGTGAGATGATTATTTGAAAGAAGCAGGTAGGAGTTTGAGAGAAGTAGAAAAGATTTACCATGGAAGATTAAAGAATGAGGGAACAAGATTAGAGGAAACAGATTATCAGTTGGCATTGAAAGCCCTGTGGAGGGGGGTCATGAATTTATTATGAAACTCTACAGTACTTTTTTTTCCCAGCAGAGTTCAGCATTGTGGTCACAAGAACAAAGGAAAAGATTGTCTTTTGTTTTGTTAATCTTAATACATAGTAGCATCTCCTGGCCTTCTCTGTAAGCACTTGATACTACCCTCTGCTTTATCCCTCACATCTAATCACTTCCCAAATGCTGTGGATTTTAGACTGTAACACATGAATTTTCTGCACCTTTCAATGCTGCTTGGTCTCACCTTGACTATCAACAGGCTTCTAATGCTTCTCACTGAATCAGAAACTTGCTGTCCACGGCCAACCTGTACACAGCAGTCAGTGTGAACTTTAATAATGACAGTCTAATCTTTTGATTTCCCAGCATAATACTCTAAAGTCCCATGCTCAGAAGATTGAAGGGAGCTCCACTTTGGCCATCCCTTTAGGCGCTGTTGTCTTCTTCGATCTCTGTCCTTCAGCTCCCTTCCCTTCTTTCAGCAGTGTGCACACCTGTCTTTACCACAGGACCTCCCATTATGGCCTGTGGTTTTGCCCTCAACATCAAACCCATGTCTTAACAGAAGGACAAGGACAAAGGACAAAAGTATGCTAACTAACTCAGCTTTCATTTGGGGATGTTATTTCTGAATTTTTATCATGTCCCATCATTTTCCACCTCATTGACCAGAAGTGCATTATCTGAATACCACTGTTCATATGAGAAACTAAAAAAAAAAAAAAGCTTTTTATAGGTTGTTTCACAAGCTGCCAGTGAAATGAGTGTTAACAGAAAGAATAGGGCAGTGGGGACTAGGTGTGTACCAGGCTGTGTCCTTCTAGGTGAAGAGTTGGGTAAAAGGGACACTGACTGACTGAAGAGCAGAAGTACAGGTTCAGAGCTGAGTGTGATGGTGACTTGCTGGCGGCTGAATCTGAGGCAGGATAAAGTGAGAGGTAGAGCTAGAGAAGAGGACAGTGCCCTGCACTGCAATTCCTTTTGTGTTAGCTGAAGAGCTGAATGTCCTGTATGTGAAATATCTCTAAATGGGAAGATCTTCATACTTCAGCTGAATGTGCACTGGAGAAGAGGAAAATTTTAGTATTTTTAATTGTCTGTCTTCCCTCCTGCTTGCTCGCTTGTTCGTTCTCTCTCTCTCTCTCTCTCTCTCCCTCTCCCTCTCCCTCTCCCTCTCCCTCTTTTTTTTCTTTTCTCCCTCCCTCAGAATTCCTCTCCTCTCCTCTCCCCTCCCCCTCCCCCCAGAACAGAAGCCTTAAGAAGTTAACTCTCTCTTTTTAATTATTTTTCCAGTACTAGGGATCAAATTCAGGACCTTTAACTTGCCAGGCAGGGGTTTATGCTGCTAAGATATCTCCCTGGCCCCAGAAGTTAAGTAACTTGTGTGATTCTAGTCCAACCAGAGCATGGCAAGACCAGGTTTCAAATGCATCTTGGTCTCACTCCAGATTGCCTGTGGTCTCCATCATCCAGCAGTGCACCTAGGCCCAGCAGGTCTGAATCAACAGCTCCATGCAGTGACCTTCGCAGACAGGGACACCAATGTTTTCTCTCTCAATAATTCCTGACAGTTTCTGTGCTTTCAGTCTAAAGGCAAATGCAGTACTTCATGGAAAAGAGTGGGGG